GCGAATCGCGTCCCTTCCGTCCCCACCAGGGTCAAGCGTGCGTTGAGGAATCCTCGACACGTCGCAGGGGGGGGGGTCGTATTGGCCCGCTGGGTGGAAGAGATCGAGCCATTTTGATGCAGTGGGATCATCACCGTCGGAGGACAAACATCAAGGATGAGTCGATGCCAGGCCAGAGGATTTCCAATGAAAATGATATTTCACCCACGCAAAGTTTTCGTGATTCTGAGGCGTCCGCGTAATAATTCTTAGTTACTTCAGTGTTTTATCATCACACAAGTTAAAGAATCTGAAATTCGCACGCTTCCCAAGGGATATTTTATCTTTCAAGTGAGTCCTCGAATCTGAAGGGATGTGAAGTACACGGCGCATCCCAGAGTGGGTCCAGTTGTTGCGCGCGCTTCGATTACGGCTCCTTGGACAAACAATCTCAATCCAGGAAAAATCGAGAGGATTCTGAAAGTTCCGTGCGCAATTACAGGGAGATGTACACCATTCAACATTGCATTAACGCACTCTTCAGGGTTTAATTCATAAACATGTAACCTTTAAGGTTGAGGGGTGGGCAGAGAAACGCTGAAACATATTTTACTTTTCTAGCGGAAAGGAAAAAGCAATGATTCGAATATGCTCTTACTTTGCTAGGTTGTGATCGTACTGGTATAATGCCGAGGATCATATAGTCGTTGGTGAAATAGTGCAATGTAGCGAAAAAGTACCTTTCGGCGGTACTCGTGGCAAAAATCCTCAACGTAGCCGTTTTTTTAATACTGGACGTTTGGAGCAGTTCTAGTAAGCATTTGATAGAGCAAATCTTCTAGTTTATGATGGCGTATTTACTTTTCGGATTGGATGAGTTTGAACGGAGTTATGGCTTTAGAAAGTGAAAAAACTCGCACTCATCACAAATTTTTCCTCGTAACGCTATCTGGGCTTTGCAAAATCCTCAACGTGGCCATTTTGAATACTGGACGTATAAAGCTGCTTTAGCAACGGTTTGGTAGAGAAAATCTTCTAGTTTTGTATGACGTATCAACTTTTTGAATTTGACGGAAATGAAGCAAGTTATTGCTCCGGAAAGTGTAAAAACTCGTGCTCGTCTCGAATTTTCCTCGTTATTTGATCTAAATTTGTTATTTCTTATAACTTCCTGTAATTTCAGTACTGATTAGAAAAAGCTCTTCACAAAACTCCCAAATCAGCTTTCAGATTGAAAATTCGTTAACTTTGAAGAAAGTTATAATCATTTGAATATTTGTTCAAATTTCAATAGTAAATAAGCTGCTCCACGGTCAACGCCAAAGTCCAGTCAACACACAGCTGGCGAAGGCGGTTAAAAAGCTTTTTTCAACTGAAGGGCTACGTGTAAATTGAGAACCATAATCTGTGTAGTACTAGAATTTGGTAAGTCTTGTGGAGGAAATAAATAAAGGACAGATGTTGTCATAGTATGCCATTTTTAAGCGGCTAGTTTGTCGTTTTTTGGTCTGTTTCTCGTTTGCTCGTTTGGTAGGACTCATCAATAGTGATCATTCTTTGACTTTTTCTTTTTGTACTCTTAACAATTTTTTTTGTGGCGGAGAAGTCATTAGCGGGGGCGGGTTTATGATGAATGAAGAAGTTTGAATAGTTTTGGGGGAGAATTAAAACCTTTTCATAGTTCGGCTTTTGAGGGGGGTGTTTCATGGACTTTGACCTCCGGCGGAGGGAGGGGGGGGGGGTCGTATTTCCAAATTTTCCTCAACACCTCGCTTGACCCTGATACTTCCAACCTCACAAAGTATGCTCAGGGTATCGACCTTGATTAAAGCACAATCGACGAATAACAGTTCAGTAAAATTTAACGATATGAAAGTATGGGATCGTCTACGTCGGCACTTCCGCACCTCCTTGATCCCGTCCGCTATGCTTGACCGAGAGAAATTTGGCGCTTAGGGGGATGGGCGCCTGTGCTAGCTCAATTGGAAATTGCATTCGTTGCGAGTTCTTGTTAACAGTACGTTCCATTACTTCTGGGGCCCTCTGTATAACTCGTGGTGTCTGCCACTAGTTCAGCGCGCGTGTGGCATCTTATCGGAAGGAATGAGTAGCGTATTTGGCTGTTTTATTCGCGATTTTAAACACAACGATATGTAGGTGTTATTCTTGCAGCAGTATAAAATATGGCGGATTAAGTGTTGTGTAGAAAAAACTGGAGAGAAGGTGTATTGTATGTTGTGAGACATCACCGTACGTTGCAAATGGGCCAACTGGTGGGAAGGCAGAATTTACGATAAAAGTTAGCTCATTGGAAATAAGGGTAGAGGTGGTCAGTGGAGCAGGGATGAAGAAGAAACCATTTGAAACGGCCCGAAACCCGAGAAATGGGACCCCTTCCTTGCCCGTTGATTTGCGCATTGATGCGACTCTCATCGCTGTGCCCTCTTCAACACTACGCTCTCTCTGCTATCTAATCACTCGCCACGTATAGACCTGCGGCGAGTGATTAGATAGTCGGTGGGCGTACCCCGCCAACCGCGCCAAGAGTGAGCCATGCTAGATCGCCGAGGTCAAATCTTTCGCTGCCAATTGCGCGTCGGTCAGCACCCTCAGGAGGTCCGCCTGTCTCCCAACTAGGCAATTTTCCCTTCTTCGACCTTCGTTCTTATCGTGAATTCCTCCTTCAAGCCGGATTTGGTAAGCGCAGTGATCTGCATGCGTTTGTCTACTTCTACGATAACAACTTTGAAACCATCACTATGAAACGTTTCAGTGGAAATGTAAAGTCCCAGGTAACCTATGGAGTGGCCATCATGAAATAAGTTTACACCTTTACGTTTCAAGTACATATCTACTCTACGGTGTATCTTTTCAAACACTGCTCGCCGTTGTTTGGTCCACATTGATAAATGGATAGATTTATTGTTTCTTCAGGTGTACTGTATACACGGAGTATACAAAGAGATCAGCAGTTTTTTGATGTCGGTTGATCATTGTTCTTCTTCCCCAACAAACGCTGGGTTCGCGAACAGTGATTCCATTTCAATTTGGAAGATGTCCTTGAGGTGAGAGAAGAGCGGTCGCCTCTCCGGGTAACGGTGGAAGCACCGCTGCATTATGTTGTACCTGAAAAGAGTACTCATGAGAGTCGTCTCCTGCATCGATGTTGTTCACTAATGTTTATGTTCATTAATGTGCGCGTGCAATTTATTGGGTTGTCCAGAAAATCCTGCAACACTTTAAATTCGAGAGTCGCTAGCTATTCAAAGACGAATAGCGCCCAATTTTGATCTACGGTAAGGTAGACTATACCTAGTGTGTATTGCGAAATATTATAAAAAGGCTTTCTCTCTAACGGAAAAGCAGCTTATGGATCCTACAAGTCCGAGTACCCTTCGACCCATTGTCTATTATGAATTTCCTACAAGGGCATTCTGCAAGAGAAGCAGCTAATAATATTTGCACTGTGTTCAAGAGAGATGTGGTACACCATTCCACTGCTACTCGTTGGTATCACCGCTTCGAGTACGGCAGATATTTCTATCGAATGTCAGGAACGTCCTGGACGCCCATCAACTCTTCGAGAATATGATTTCTCTCTCCTGAAGCAGTTAATGGTCGCAAGCAGCTTTTGATCTCAAAGCCGAAAATTACAAACTCCGCTAATTACACTGCTGGGTGGCGGCAAATCGACCATCAGCAATCGTCTAGTATCTCTTAGATTCCGCAAAATTCTTTCGACGTGAGTTCTCACGAACTCCGCGAATCGGACCGAGCCTGTCGTGCAAGCAATGCCGAGTCATTGCTTCTTCGTCCGCACAGGAAGGACTTGTTGAATGGGATAGTAACAGGAGACGAAAGCTGAGTCCTGTACGTAAATGATACCCGCAAGAGAGTGTGGTTGCCAAAGGGGGAAATGCCACCGAAGCAATCGAAACCTGGTTTGCAGGAGAGGAAGGTTCTCCTATGTTGGTGGGAATTGTGATGGGATGCTCTTACTACGAATTCCTGGATAGTGGCACTACTGTGACAGGCGACGATGTACTCTAACCAACTGCAGAAGGTGGCCAACGCAATCCTCCCAATAAGTATCCAAAACGACTAGGAAAACTACATATCTTCTGCACGTCAACACTCGCCCCCACGTGGCAACAATGACACGTCAGAAAATTCAGAAGCTCCTTGGGAAGTACTGCCATCTACCGCACCCTCCCCGATCTAGCTCCTTCCGACTACCACTTGCTCTAAGCCTTGAAGCGGCACCTACGAGATAAGCAATTCGATAATCAGGAGCAACTCAAAACTGAGGTGGGCAACCTTTAGCATGCAATCCGCGGAATTTCTGGAGAAGTGGGATCGACAAACTACCACTTAAATGGATGAAGGTCATCGATAATAACGGCGACTATATCACTGATTGAACTTGTCTTTTATTGTATAAAAAACGATCTGAAATTTGTGTTGTAAATGTCGCAGTATTTTCTCTGGACAACCCAATAGAAGCACATTCCTCTACTGAATAGGTGTAGACTGTTGCTTTCGAAATGAATGCATTTGTGGCAGTTAGCGCCTCAATTCATCACTGCCGGAATAATTACCATCTCTAAGGTAATTTTTCAATCCCAATAACAGTAACCTCTTCAAATGCGGAATTTTTCTTCGAACCAGGCTCATAGATTGCTTTGGAAACAACTTCACTCACTACACAATACACTCTCACATTGCGAGGGGCTTTATTCGCTTTTCTTACCAAACGCTATAATTGCAAGTATAATGAAGAGAGGAAGCTTTCAGCTCAAAACAGGACTCGAAGCTGAATGCACGCATTCTAAGCACCATGCTTACCCATTACACGGCAGAGACCTCATGCGTCTCTCACCGGCATCTGGCAAATAAAGAGGCGCTCACTTACGTCTGCCGTGGAGCATACTTGGGATGAGCAGGAATTCTGTAATGCAACACGCATTCCACAATCTCTTCAGGTTTTTGCAAATCTTCGTAAGGAACATCGCCGAGAGTGAAAATTTCATATAGGAGTACACCGAAAGACCATCTGAAATAATTTGGTGATACTTCATTACTACGTACTTTCAAATCTAGCACTCTCCCAGACCACCTCACTATGTGTAATAAACGTACGTGTCACTTTTCTGAGAAAATTTTCCTTGAAAACACTCGGGTGCCAGCCATCTCACTGGCAGGTACCGTACAGCAGGCGAACTTCCCGAAAACTTGGGTCTTCAGGATCGGAACAAAATCCGAAGCCAGAAATCTGCAACAAGTTGAAACCTCACTGTACCACAAAAGTAAGGTCGGAAGAAAGACCCACTTTAGCTCTCAATCCAGTAGTGAGAAGAACATTACGAGCAGCTAAATCACGGTGAATCAGATTGCGGGAATGAATGTAGCTCTGAATGGTTCATAGGAAACAGCGAAAAAAAACGACGTAAAATGTGATGGCGGATGCGAGAGTTGCCAGTGCAATGACTGAAGCAATTAGTTCCCGATCGGTCAAACTCGCATGGAAAGGCATTACGAGGAAAATCGTCTCAGCTAAACGATTATGGTTCCAACTCGAAATTTCACTTACAACTCCATCGCAGACCTCCCAGATGATTTTGAACAGCATCTGATAGGGGATGTAGGCGGTCGATCTTGAATCAGTGCTCGAAACTCTGGAAAAGTTTTTAGACACTGTCCACTGTTTCAAAGACTCATCATGGAAAAATTATAACGGAAGGCTTCCTTAGAATTATATCTCCCCTAGGAATTATCGATTCTTGCTCTATGTACAGTGAGAAGGGCGAATTAAGTCAAGCTTATTCCTAGGTAGACCAACGACCTACATACTTCCTGCCGACTTGAAGTAGAATAGACGCTGTCCTCAGTGAAAGGAGAGGGAGGGGGCATCTGGCATAAGAACCTGCCACGCAGCGTATTGTTTTCATAGTATGCGCGCACAATCCTTCTCTCATCCCGCTGCAAAGAGACCTACACGAACTACTAGCAATCCAATGAATGTAGTTCTCTTCAGACTCAATATTTTTTAGAATTTCTGGTAATCGTTGTTGGTTGGGATCTTCGCTTTTGCTAGATTAAGAAAACTATCATGAAAACTATCATATTTTTTGTTACGGAGTAGGAGTTCAGATTTAATCAAAAATAAGCACTTCTTCCCTCAGAAGGTCGTAGGTCGTTCATCAAATATTCCAGATCGTTTTTTCTCTCGAATGTGCCCGAATTTTCGTCAATGTTTTTTCAGAAGATTGTCCACATGGCCCGTTTTTGTGCACACGCGGTTTTTTGGCTTTGAGCTGCTATGACTCTTTTCAGGTTCAACTTTTCGCAATCCTTCAACCCTTCTAGAGAACCAGGAGGCTGTGGCTTTCTGAAAAATAGGTAAACTCATTGCAGAAATCATGGAGTCCAAAAATAGGCTTCGTTGGTAAGTTTTTGAGCATCCGTTCCAATTTTTGAGCTTACCAATTATTTTTGGCAATGGGCTGATTTTCCGGCTTCGCAAACCACATCAGCAACTTTCCTGCCGACGTTTGGCAACTCTATAACCCTATACGAAATCCATATCAAAGCTATCTTTCTAAGCCAGCTTCTTTGATCTCGTTTCAAGATTGGTGGGTCAAAAATAGCCCCCATTCATTCCTCTCCTTGATCCTTTCGTGGCATTCAGTAAACCACTCATGTCACCTTGATATGAGCTACAACACGGTGTCAACAGCTTGATTTTGAAGGCAATGACTAATCGAAGTAAAAATATAACTAGTTACTATTACGTGATCTGTTACAGGTGCTGAATCCTTCCTGGAAATTCGATATTTCACAAGGTTTTTTTTTCTCGAAATTTTCTCCTGAGCATTGAAAAGTCAATTCGCCCGAAGTGGTTACTCTTTCCTTAGATGGGCATGGTCCAAAAGCATCGTGTCGCCTGTAGAGCAAAATTCGTGCCTGTGAAGAACAGTCACATATGGACCCAATATGCCGGAACCAGTTTCTGCTCTGAGATGCGCTAATGCACTGTGTGCCTAATATTTGAAACAACCTTCCGAACGTTCTATACCCCTCACCCACGGTTCGCCGGCCGACAAGTTTTGATTTGAATCGTTTAAGGGCTTGTGCCCAGCAAAGTTTGATTTAAATCGTTTAGGGCTTTGTGCCGAAGGTCAGAGCTGCGAGCTACGTCTAAAATTTCGTCCATTCCGTTGGGGTCTCAGTCAGTCACTTTCATGCACACATGGGCACTTACAGTGTTAACCATCCCCTACGCTGTTACGTCCACGGGGATCTCCGCGCATCGCGACGTTGCCTCCTGCGCATATGACCCCCTTTTTTGTTGGCCAAATACAACTTCCCGTTGGACTAACCAGTAATGGTTGACCTTCCAACCAAATTTGCACCACAATGCCCGACCCTCATCACACCACTCGCTGGAATAGCGCCGTAAATAGTGCTCATGACCCTCCATAGCAAAAGCTGTTTTTCGTTATAAATCCTTCTACATTACCCGCAGAGGAGCATTCCCGACTACAGAAGTAATCTTGGGATACATTCTCGTTTGAAGAAGTCCATCAAGTTACAGGTTCGAAACATTATTCTATCTACGGAGCCAACGTGACGATTGCGTACATCTCTTTCCCCTACTCAGGTGTTCCACAAATGCGCGCGTAGCAACAAGACATGGCTTCGGGTAATCATTGGCATCAGTTAGCATAAATCTTATAAGTTCCCGGTCTATCTGTTCGAAGAAGGGGCATTCAGTGCATGATTTGTGCAATTACGGCAATACCATCTTCGAAAGGGAATGAGCTTCAAGGTGAGGTACACGAGTCCTTTGTACTGCCTTTATGATAAACCCAAGAGGGGTACAATGCGTACATCTCCCATTTTTGATTGCAAACAAACGAACTTACGTCTCGTGTATTTGACCCAAATACTTGAGTAAGTTCATGTGTGTCAACTCGAGTAAACTGCATACCAAATCGTTTTTATTGGTCCATCCTGAAATTCAAGTCCATCTCACTTAACTTTTGGATTTTCTCAAAAAAGAATTAGTTATTTTTCCCGTCCAGCGGTCAAAGTCCACGTATAACGATCAAGGATTCATCTCTATCCACCGCACATCCCACTTCTATCCAAAATCGTAGTGATAGGGTTTAGACATGGCGCTAGACCGAATTTAACTGAATATCGACTCGCCTCGAAAGTTATTGGCCACGACGAGTGGCCTATACAATGACTTACAGGGCCTTCCAATATACATTTCAATGTTCCCAACTTCCCAGACAAGTCTGTAACCAATCTAAGGCCGAGTTACGATGAAAAGCAGAACATTAGAAATCAAGGTAGAGGTTGTCAGTAATGCAGGGATGAAGAAAAAACCAAGAAAACGGCCTAAAAACCCAAGGAATGGGATTCCCTTTGTGCCCCTTGATTAGCACGTTTGGCGAATCTCATCGGTGCTGTCCTCTTCACGCTAACGCTCTCTTTGCTAAACTTTCAGAGCAAAACGGCGAGAGGGTGAGCATGCCGCTATGCGAGGGGCGGGGGTATGGAACCGCCAGGCCGCTGGAGACAGACTATGCGAAACGCTTATCGTCCCGCACCCTTAGGGGTCCGCCTGCATTTCGACTCGGTACTTTTCCCTTTCCTTCAACCTACAACCTAGCATAGAATCCTCGTTTAACCTAGATAAAAGGGACGGAATGGGTGGCTGCCATGATCATCGCACGATCCACGAACGATCCCCAGGTGTGAGAGGTAATCAGTGGGTAAAACTAACATGCAATTAGTTAAAGAGCGGGAAAGAGCAGAACGTTAGAAAATTGAGAAAATGCTGAGATAGTGGTTAGAGAGCGTATTGTAGCGCAGGGCCCTAACAGATAGGTGTTAGTTACACATGACGTCAGCGCGCGTTCGTTTTTTTTTGTCCAGGTGAGTTCTGGAGCGGCGCTTCCGCGAGGCGACAATTACCGCTGATGATTCGAATACTGCCCCAACCGTAAGTTTTTGACGACGTAATCTTGATCTATGCGCTGTCGAGTGAAAGCGCCGTCCGTGTATTAAGGATAATAATGGCTGATAGTGAGACTTATAATGCTCTGCATGCTCTAATGCTCCCATGGAGCTCTTGTCTGTGTGACTCTCCGACAGCTGCACGGTGCAGAGCTCCTGGAGAACATTAGAGCGTGAAAGTGCACTGCAGGACACTGCACTTTTCAAGCCGTCTTGCAGCCCCGTCTCTCTAGATACGACCCCTCCCCTTTCGTTCGACCGAATACGACCCCCTCGTTGTTCTTTGCGCAACGGAGCGGTTGACCCTGCTTATAGACTCTTTCAAAATTCAAACACGACACCCCCCATCGTTGTAAGAATAGAATGGCGCAGCTGACCTCTCACAAGGTAATCGGGCGTCCAGACATTAACGAGGAATTTCTGAAACCCATTCTTTCCTACCCATCCATCACAGGGGCCACCACGACTCCATAGTTTGTCTCTCTTTCTGCTTTCATCCTTACCACAAAATATACATTTCGAAAACATTTCCATAGGTCGAGACAGGAAAATTTTTGAAAATTCCTCCAAAATTGGATTACGTTTGAGGCAGTACATGAGTTTTCGTCATGTCCACAAGACGCACGCATTTGGTGCCCTAAGGAGTAAGCAAAAGTGAGAAATTCCAAAAAGCATTAGTATTAATTAGTTTTAGATGGGCACATTTTGCTCAAGAGAATCCGAGCAATCAATTGAAATTCGCGAGATAATCAGTATCTTCGTTTTGAGATTTCGGACACTCCATTTTCAATCAAGTCAAATAACTAGCAGCATAAGTTATTGAGCTCCATATGCATGGCTTGCCAGCAGTCGTAGAGAGTCGTTGAAACGACCTTTCCTGCATTACTTCTGCCGTAGATGTACAGACTTTCTGGCGATGAGTCCTAGTAAATTGAATATTTGTAAAAATCCGAAAAAATAACAAATCCGAGTTTCAAGCAAATTACTCGAGATAAAAAGTGGTTAAGGAAGATTTTGGCGATATTCCTTCCGACCACTGCCTAGATTGTCCAGAAGCTTTCTGGGGAATACTCGAATCGTTTTCAGAACCGCAAAGGAATGCCCGAAAGTTGCTCGGCTTCCATGGGAAATAAAGTCGGATCGTGTACATATCGACACGGAATTCTTACTCGGCGAAGGCACAATCTCGAACGTTTATCTTGGTGAGAATCATCACAATCCTGGATTTGAAGAGCGGGAAGCTAATGATTACAGTTTGGGCATCTTGTCACACGTGTGTAACAACCGCTTTTCAGGAGGTCCCTCTTCT